GCCTTTGTTGTTGACCGAGCAGACGACTGGAGCTGTTTCAGCTCGATTTCGCGGACAGATAAGTCGCATGGTCGAGGCATGCGAGTTAGCTGATAATTACTCTCGGTGGCACAATTCTGTAGTCATCGCCACTTTCCTTAGATGATCAAAACTGATTAGTATATTACCGTCTCTCCGGAGCCCATAGTTTCGGTTTTGAACGGAGTCTCCTAAACGAAAGTTTGACATGAAAAGAACAAAAAACACAGGGAAAACAAAACTATGCTCTGCAAGTTTATGTGCACCGGCTACACTTAACCGCCTCAGTTCAATTACTTATAAAGTTGGGCATTAAACAAAAAGAAATCAGTTAAGTTGAATGCGCCACCTGTTCAGGCGGCCCGGCCGAGCCGACGCCACCTAGACTCAGCCGCCATGTTTGTTTGGTGGTGACGCCCCCTATAAGTCACTGGAGTTGTGAATAATATAGCTTTTAAGGAGTCACTTCGCGCCGACTGGACAAAGGAGCTTGGAAAGAGTTCGGCAGAATTATTATGATTCGCGACATCTGGCTAGACTTGCCGCAAACTATTTGGGCTATATGGTTCAGGTTAGCGGCACTTTCGAAGTGCAAAGCCAGGGTAGCGACGCCTCTGAAAGTCCCGGTACATGCGACTTCCTTTTGCGTTCGCTCGCGCTTGTGCAAGTCGCTTTGACAGCGTTGGAGCACTGCGGAAGCTACGCAGTTGTTTTGACAACGTAGCAGAAAACAGTTGATGCCGAGTATAGCCTGAACGAGGTAGAGTCAAAAACGTTCAACGTGGCGGATGGAGCAGGACGAACTCGGATATGGTGGGCTAGAAAGGAAGAAGTGACTACCGCGCGAGCAAGAGCGGTTCCGTAATCCAAGCTTAGAGACCGCAGAATAACCTGAACGCTGGAAACAGCGCCACCTTGCCCTCCAGCCCGCAATTACGGTGCCTGATACCGGTACATCCTTGCAAAACTCCCAAAAAAAAATAGAAATTTTAATTGACCAGTTATGATTATTGAAGCGAAATTTTATGTATCGCCAGCAATCTCGACTCAGTCATGGCGACCTCAGTGCTCCCCAAGTAGGAAGCAGCAAGATAAATAAAAATATTGCAAACATTTTAGAGCACAGCTTTTAGGCGCCCGTTTCAGGCTTGAGCGGCGTCGCCGGCGGCGTAACCGCGCAGTGCATTAATGGGTAAACTTTCCCGCTAAATTTAGGAGAAAATTTTCCCCGCAAATAATAGTGGAACATTTTCCCCGCTAAATTTAGCGTAAAAGCTTCCCCGCTAAACTTAGCGGAAAAATTACCCGCTAAATTTGGCGGAAAAATTTACCCACTAAATTTAACGGGAAAAACTCTCCGCCAAATTTAGCAGACAATTTTACCCCAAATAGGAGGCGAGCAGGAGAGGAGGAGGGGCATAGCCTCCTCCCGTACTTTCCCATCCTCCTCCTCAAGAGCTGAGCTCTAATTCGGCGTTACATAGGATTGTGAATGTCTGTTTTTTTTTTTTTTTTCTTATTTCTTTCTTTTTTAGTTATTAAGTGATTAAAGCGAGTTTTCTGACTGAAACATGAGTATTTTGGTGCCGAATATTTAGGCGTATATTTAATATTAGGCGTATTTAATATTAGGCGTATATTTAACAAAGAAACCACAATCTTGAATTTCCTAATAAAAAAAAACGACTGTTTTTTTGTCGTTGTTTTTGTTTTTTATTTTGTTTAAGAAAACGCATGACCGTGGCCACGCGAGGCGCGACTGCCTTAAAGGGGCCCTGCAATCATATTTAAGCGTCTACCTTTTTTGCGGTTTCTACGTCTCTTGGGGTTGGGGCAAGCCAGCGGGCACGGAGGGAGTAACTAAATATCAGTGCGTCATATTTTAACCGGACGACGCGGAAACCTCCTCCACCGACGAGGGCGACCAGCGGTAGCGAAAGCGCGCAAAATGTGACGTCTTTGGTCCTGGGCTTGCCACTGGTCAAAGCCGTTAAGAGCTTTTTTTTAGTCGAGATACAAAATGTAAGTGTCGCGAACCGTTTCAATTATGTATGAAAGTAGTTTTTGTTCACTATTTTAGATTAGAAAAGAAACAAATGCAGTTTAGAAAGTACGGAAACGAGAAATGACCCGTCGACATACCCGCCACGAAGCGGCGGAAAAAAACGGCGCATACTAGAAAAGGCTAGTGGGATGAGGCTACGACATACGAGGAGCGTAAGAAGGTCCCGGATGTACGCGGCGGCGCTGTGGTCGTATACCGGCTCAAGAATCCGACCGGTTCCGAGCGTTCCGAAGGCCTTCGGCGGGGGCCCTGTTGGCGATTTGGCCATTTGGCGGTGCGGCAGCGCAAAGTGGCTCTTGTTCTCAAGTGATCTTCACCCCGTGTTTGCTGTCGTTTGTGGCCAATGAAATGTTATGCCGAATTAGTGTTTAGTCGCGCTGCAAATGCAATATGAGCTGCCCTGGCCGCCCGCTTCATACAGCCTATCCAACACGTGCTTTAGTGGCGCCCTCTCGAGCCGTCGACACGGAGTGCGGCAGCCGTGTGCGCTCGATGAGCTCACCACTCCTCCTCTAGTTCAAGGCCGCTCAAGGCAGGACCTACGACGTCATGAAGGAGGTTATTTTTTGCTTGTTTTTGTAATTCTAATTTGCCTATAACTTTTAAAATAAAGCGAAATTTGAGAAAAGAAAAGTTGGATTAAGTTACTACGTTCAGTACGCTCAGGTTCAGTGCAAATTAAAAACCAGTCAAAAAGTCATTGCAGGGCCCCTTTAAACGGCGGTGCCGTTCGTGGCGGCTGAAATGAAAAGGGCCGACATCCAACCGCAGACAACGCCTGATGGAAGCTATCCGGCAGCTCCGAAAAGTGCATGGTCATGACGCTCGTCGTCTTCGTGTGTTTGCTAGCCCCGACTAAACCAATCACGCACAACGACCCTTCGCGTTTTTTCTTTTTTTTTTTTTTTTTTGTGGGTGATTGACGACATTAAACTAAGGAGGTAAAGGGGCTTAGGCTGATAAACTGCTATCGCTTTTACCAGGCAAAAGTGGCCCTACCTTGGCTGCCGCCATGTTTTTGACCACTAGACACGTGACCGTACCAAATCCTGAGGCTTTTACGCAAAACTGAGCCAATATTTGTATTTCGATCACTGTAAAAAAACACGGCAAACTATTTTTTTTCCACTACTGTTAGCCTCATAGATAAGTGTCTAGATATGATAAAATCAGGCATTGCGAAGCTGCCCGAGTTCTGATCGTAAGAGCACATTTTGTACTTCAAACAAATGAAGCATAATCTTGTTAGTGCTGTTATCAAAGATCAATAAGCAATTATTTGTGGGCGGTACTTCGTTAAAATCTAGGCGTAAAACTACCTAACAAAAGTGTGCAACATGGCGGCGGCCAATTGGAAGTCCCTTTCAGCTGCCAATTTATTACTTACTCTAAGCCCCTCTACCTAATTGGAATGGTGGTTCACAACGAATAGCGTTGCCTCATCCATAGACTCGAATGCGCCGTGCGAAGGTGCGGCGCGCGTACGCGCCGCGCATGCGGAGAACGTCCCCATACGCAGGCGCCGAGCGTATGCGTACGTTGTCCTAGAGGTCGCTGTAGATGTCATCTTTGACGTCGTCCTCGATGTCGTCCTCGACGTCGTTCTCTAGGTTGTCCTAGAGGCCGTCCTTGAGGTCCTTTCAAAGGTCGCCCTCGAGATCGCCCTAAAAGTCGTTCTCGATGCTGTCCTAGACGTCGTCTTTGACGTCGTTCCTCTAGGACGTTGTCCTCGACGCCGTTCCAGCAGCCAGATAAACCCGCGCCGCTTATACATGGAGCAGCAGCATTCAAATTTACGCCCAAGCTTACGAAACAATTATCGGTTCGAGCTGAGTTAGTTGGTACGTGGTAAATGATGGTAGTGAAACAGACTACAGAGAGACAGGACATCACACACCCGCACGAAGCTGCAATGAAGCTGCAATGATGAGAGCTTGAACATAAAACGATTGCACAGGCACAGAAGATTAAAAAACTACACAGAGACGAACCAATCACTAAATTTCGAAGTGGCCCGCTGCAGTCCCGCTGACGTCAATAATTGCGTCGTAAATCATTCATAAAATGAAGTGCTTACTCAAAATGTGAGTCGTCGTATTCATATAGTTTGTCTCACCCTCCGATGGATTAAAGGCAAAAGCTACGAACCGCCAGATCCAGTCACGAGCCACTTAGGAATTGCGTAGTATTTCGCTTCGACGCACGTGTCGGTGCCCGCGTCTCCGATCACGGGAATGGGCGGAAAATGGTTCGAATCAAATAGCACTGAGTGACTCGTCAATGTTACATTGCAAAAAAAAATCCACGGTATGCAGGCTCTTTGCAGCTTTAGGCTATAGGAAGCTATAGGAATGGTGCAGCGCTTTTTGATTCGGAGCATGTCCTTCCCTATTCAATGTTAAGCATGTCATAGCTTAGCTTGGAACAAGATTGGACCTCACTCTAAAAAACGTTTGTGTGTCTACTTTCAAGCACAATTCTCGGAGAGCCAATCACCGCCACTTACGGAGGCAGCTCAGCGAATGTCAATGCCAAAACTAATGTTTAGACGAAAAAACGCAGTCTGAGTTGCGACATTAAGCAATTGAAAAGGTCACGCTTGCGTCGCTTAATGTCACAACTCAGACTGCGTTTGTTTTGTCTAGACATATTTTTCGGCATTGTCACTCGCTGAGCTGCCTCCGTAAGTTGCGTTGATTGGCTCTTCGAGAATTGTGCGTGAAAGTAGACGCACGGGATTTTTTTTTAGAGTGCTGGTTGCTTCTGGCTTTGGCCTTTAGGCCATCGTAGGATGATGCGAAGTATAGTGGAGATGCGTCGTGAGGTCTCATGACGAACGCTATTGCAATTCATAGACAACCAACAGTAGTGGTTTGTTTCCTAGTGCTTGATCTTAGGAAAAGAAAGAGAAGCTTACCTTCGAGCCCACTGGTGAGAAATGTCGAGAACACGAGCAAACAGACGGGTGCTATAGGACGGCAGTCTCGTCGAAACCAAGTGAATAAGATAAGATTGGCCATCCCATCGCGCGTACGTTTGCAAGGTTCAGTTCAGTGGACACTTCCTTGTTGAACACTGCAGAGTGGTGGGCACTCAGAAAAGTGCTGAGGCCACAATCAAGGCCCATATCAATGCCTATTCACGGACATTCTGATTGCACCTTATTAGAATGGTGATTAATGCAGGTTCCTTAAGAAACTAAGAAAAAAAATAAGTCAGACGTTTTTGTGCCGTTGTTGCAATTGCCAATATTCATAGCTTATGGTGTCGTTTTATCTTCACTATCTTTTTGTTCACTGAGTTGCACATTAGCTCATTCACTCAACACAAGTTACGGGCGCACTAAAACAGGGGTCTCCACATCCCGGCCCGCGGGCCAGATCCCGCCTGCCGATGTCTTCCGACCGGTCCGCGGCCCGCTTAGAGCGACCCGCTGCAAGCGGTGAAAAAGAAAATGCGTGCAAAGAAACGACTCCGCTACGTGCTCCAAAGGCGCGAAAAAAGATGCCAGGAAGATGAGGCAAATTGTATCGTAACGCGGGTCCTCTCGCCGTATTAGGGAGTTTTAGGGAACCGTTTTTGCGCATCCGGTACGGTACAATGGACCCTCCGGTACGAACTGCGCGTGCGCTGCTACAGAAGAGACTCACATGCGCAATTCGTATCGGAGAGTCCACCGTATTATATCGGATGTACGAAAACGGTTACCTAAACCTCCCTGTTATTGATTGAACATTGTCATCACCATCAATAATTACCATTCTTAGTCCCTTCGTGTCCGTGTAACTATGTTAAAATTCCATCGCGTTCTCACGTACATTGTGCTTAATGTCCTCAGTCGCAACCATTTCATATTCTCGGCATTAGTTTTATCAGTCTAATTAGTTTTTTGCACTGTTCGAATCTGTCAAAGCTACTAGTCGCTTTGATTAACGACTGGTGAGTTTATTTGGCCACACGTGTTGGGTAATTTCACAATTCGCTAAATATTAAATTTCAAATTCGAGCATCTGTATTAATCCACTTTTTTTTTAATACTTGCTCTGACATTAATTTTTGTTGTTGTTGTTTTGTGCTTATCTAGATTTACTTATTTAGTTTCTCTTTTTAATTCGGCCCTCTAGACTGCGACAAATCGCAAATCCGGCCCCTTAGCCAAAACGTTTAAAGACCCCAGCACCAAAGTAACCAGCCAGAGAAGATATGGAAGCTACTGAGCATTTATTTCAAATATGCTGCCCGTTTGTACCGTAAGATAAAGGTAGCACATTTGGCACAAAAGCAAGTTACGAGAGATAATCACGGACATCTATGTTCGCCGCTCTGCGATGTCACGGTGATGACATCATCATTAACTGCTTATGTACGCTTTAGACACGCGCCTGACTATAGCAGCCATTACTGACCTTTTCGTATCCCTCGAAATGCCGAGCCACTGAAGCGGGTGTTGCGCCTCCACAAAGGCTAGTGCTGGATTGAAGGACACAGTAGGATCTAAAAAGCTGATAACTGGTCCTGTTCTGGTAATAATAAATTTTACGTAATTAACGGTAAAATATGAAACAAAACGTTCGGTTAAGGCAACGCCCCGGGGCCTTGGCAAAAAAAGTCGGAGAGGAATCCGGCGGCCGTGATTGGCTGGCGACGCGTTTGACCTTGACGCCGGCCAATCACGACGGTCGAATTGCTCGCCGATTTTTTCGCCAAGTGCCCAGATTAGAGCATTTGAACAGCCGCGACAAAGTGTCTATATTTGGTTTGATTCTTGTACAACGCTGTCAAAACTGCATGAGCGAATGAGTGGCTTGACCATGCGGTTCAATTTGCACGTGCTCTCCGGAAAATTAGACGCCAGGTGTCACCACGCATTTGTGCAAGTAGTTTTGACAGCGTTGTACGCTAAGTATGAAACAAAGCACAAAGTCTCTCCAAGAGCAGACGTTGTCGTAGGTTTTATACAGCACGTAAAATCCTTCGCATTTTGTTTGTACACTTCTTATTTTTACAAGAAAATGCGTGTTCGAAGTCCGTGGTTTATTGAGTCGCAAATTTCGACTTGAGTTCCCGTCTCATGACTTTCCCATTGTCAGCTTTGGGTATGAAGTCAACAAAAATCACCCCACCGTAGAGATGCTTGTGCACTGCCGTTTGGCCTAGGAGAGAGACAAAAAAAAAATAAAACGTCACGCAGAAAAGAGAACACGCTCAGCTCACAAAAATTTGTCTATAGACCTTTCCAGCGCTTATCACCCAGACGAGAAATGCATAGTTCCTAAGCTGTGGATGGATGCGCCACGCCTGATGTATCGCAGAACAGAACTACAGTGTATGCTCAAAGGCGTTCCACAGCCCAGCATACAAAGATGGCAGCACGCAGAAGGAGATTTTTGGAAAGGTCTATATCTTCAGATTGCGCGAACAATCACCAACACCTGTAGAGCCTAGAAAGGACCATCTAAGAATACGAGCCTGATGATGACAGTCTTGGGTAAGTTACTTTTAAAAAGTAATTCGTTACAGTTACAGTTACTTTCAGAAAAAGTAGCGAAGTTACCGTTACAGTTACCGCAACAAAAGAGTAACTCGTTACAGTTACAGTTACTTTTAAAAAGTAACGACGTTACTTTTCAGTTACTTTTATATAACACAAAAAAATTAAAAACTACACTTTTTACTTTATATTGTAACTTAGCAGCACTTGCTTCTCGAAATTAGTGTCTTAAAGTTTTCACGCCTGAGTTGTGGTGCAAATCAAAATACGAAACATCCGCAGTGCGGAGTAGTGGCGCCAATCAAAATACGAGACATGCGCTGTGCCCTACGTGTATTGTTGTTTTACGGTTCATTCACCCGATTAAAAAGCGTTTGCACCGAAAAAGGAAAAACCACAACATAGATAGTGCTTCAAGACACTAAGATGTAAGTGTTCAGTTACAAAGTACAAGCGCGTGCGTGAAGATAACTAGATATTTTTTTTATAAAATCTACATGTGGCTATATTCGGGTAGTGACTCGCGAGAAAGAACGTATTCACAACTTTGTGCAAGGCCAACTTGACACTCGAAATGTTGGAATAGACGATTTGGAAAGTACAAGGAATGGCTAAATTACACCCTCGTTCAGTGATATATTATTCATAAAACACTGGAAAGTAAAGACAAGAGTACCGTCGTTACATTCATAGTTACCTCGGAAAAAAGTAATAGAACTACAGTTACAAGTTACATTTTTTAAAGTAACTCGTTACAGTTACAAGTTACCAAAAAAGTAACGAAGTCGCAGTAACCCATTACTAGTAATGCGTTACTACCCAAGAATGGATATTGATAATGCAATTAATGCAAGGGTGCAAGTGATCTGGACAAAAATGACGAATAGAATCCCTGGAAAAGGGGAACAAGGGGGACAAAGGACAAACACAAGTCTCCAAACACGGCTACAAACTCTAAGGTAAAACGTCTTTTTTTTATAACTCATCAAGAAACATGGACCCTCGCCTTTGCTTGAACTCAAAGCGTGCGAGTGGATCCGAGTCCTTACCGAACAATGACGTAGAACCTGCACTCGATACGAGCTGAGACAACTTCGTGCCGAACGTTGACGCCTTCTTCGTGTCCAATAAAAGCTCAAGTACGTGATCAAGCGGGTCTCGGAGAATCGGCCTAGCGGCTACCATAAATGGTGCGTACTTTTGAAAGTGTCTGTCCTAAGGCAAAGGTTAGTCCCATGTCGTAAATCGTACGCTGCGGATTGCAGGAACCGCCGGCGCGTGCTCAATCCGTGCTCATAGTGAGGATGCAAACTCCCGCTAGAAACGCAAAGCTCTTCCGTACTGACCAGCGAAAACAATGCCTACTTTTCGTCGCAAAACCTTTTTGTTTTTGTTTTTAGCGATAGTTTTTACGGGCGATGCTTTGCAAAGATTTGGGCCTCGTCCCTGGTCGTCACGGCTACAAGAAAAAACATTCTCTCCGCTCTTGGCGCGAAGCCAAGAAAGTCGGGTTTTCCCGACTTCCCTGACGCGACGAAAGAAGACTTTCGTGTCGTGTGCTTCAAAGACTTGTTTTCAGACATTACTCGCATTATGCGAAAGCCCAGTTTGGCAGTATGCAGTTGCTACGCGCCATTTTGGGTGGTTTTAGAACCTTCCACAGAGCTTACCCACGTACTCCAGGGTTCACTTGACACTGCTGCGCCGTCAGTGGCATCCACGACGCCAGCCACGACAGCTATAAGGATGAACCCCGTCGCACCTCCGTCCTCAGGTACGTGACGGCACAATCCAAAACGCATTCCGCGACCGCGCTACAGCTTCCACTTTCGCTTCATCGCACATTGTGGGCGAAAAGTACGACCTTTTTCACTCGTATTCTTATTCATGGCCTAAATGTTTTCGAATACAACAGATAAAACACATCCAGATCAACACTTCATTTTACGTGTTTCCGACCTGTGAGACTCCTGTAGCATACATTACCAGAGATGTAGGCATATCAACCGGACTCCATCCGCCGAGTAATTGAAATTAATCCTTCCATACAGTTCATATAATATACCTCTTAACCGATTACCTGCAACGAGTTCTATCAATTGTTGCTTGGTTTCTTCTTTCGGCAGCGTGCAAGCATCGTCCAGGACCACGCAGGCAGCGGGAGCTTCCCCGTACTTTGGGCTCGGCACCCCGACGACAACCACTTCCTTGACCGCGTCGTGCGAGAGCAGGATCTGTTCCAACTCTGCAGGTGCCACCTGGTTGTCCATGCACTTGATCATCTCCTTCAGCCTTTCGACGAAATAGAGGTGACCCTCTTTGTCGTAGTAGCCGAGGTCACCTGGCACAAAAATAAAATCGGCTATTGTTGCCAGATGCCAATTTGCTTTTCACAGATTGTCATATAATATTTTCGTACACATTATTTAACGTCTTAATATCGCGATGGTTGCGTTAGGACACATCTTCATTCACTTTTAGACCAAATAAACCGACTGAATTTTTATTTTTGTTTCCTGGACATCTTTATACCTTTATTCCTAGCATTTCCTTTGTCGCGTATTTTAAAATAAAAGTTTGTCAGACTTACTTTTGCCCTCTTGCAAAGGTGGCCTGATAACTTCAAACTGGTTACTCAAAAACGTCCAATTTTTTATTTATTTTTTATTCTTGGGGTTTGTTCTTACAAATGTGTAGAGCTTATGCAACCGGTATTAATGACCACCAGGACACCAGATTCTTCAAATATCGTGGTTTCTTTGGGCATCTTGAAAACGACGTTTCATTTTTCTATTGCTAGGGAATCATCTGCAAACGTTTCGTGAATATAAGTGGACCTGAATGCAAGTTGAAAACATTCCCCATCACGTTTAATAAATGTATCTGTGTAATCACGTTTATTTTTGGTATCACATCAGAAGCTGCGTTCGTTAATGTGAAAGTGTTCTAAAACGTCTAACATCTTGAAGTTTTTTTGTTTTTCTTTTTGTGATACATTTATATTACAGATAAGTAGGCACTCAGACTTGAAAATAACTTTACGTGTGGTACACTAATTAAAAAGAAAAAAGTTTAAAAAACGTCTTTGAGACGTTGTGTTGTGTTCGTCCCCTTCTCTGTTCCTGAGTCTCGGGTTTTATTACCATGAATCATCATCAGCTCGCTTGTTTTTTTAAGTATTATTGCATTTACACTGAGCCTTCACCCATTGAGCTCTAGGGTTGAGTGTCTGTTACCTTAACCGTTGTGACGATCCAACAAGATCGTACCGTTTCTCTTACTTCTAAGAACTTTATTTAAAAGTTAAATCGCAACCCCAGTATTTGACTGTGGTCTGAGTATTGTCAATATTTTAATAGTTGGGAAGTCACATGCGGTTATTGCATGACTCTCATATTGAAAATTATTATAAGATGAATAGTATGCCCCTCTGGGCTTTGGGTCTTCAATCTTGGAAACACAACGGTTATCAAATATATTATTAATTAGGAATGGCATGATTATTTCTTCAGTATGAGGATTGTTACAGTGCGTTGCCACGACCACTATGATAAATATTTGGCAGTTTGATATTTTTGACGCATGTTACGGCTAAAAAAAACAGGGCGCGAGATGGCCAAAAAAACACGCTTTTCGTATAAGGCTCGTCAAATTATGAGGAACTAGAGAAAACCAGCCATTTCGAACTCTTTTTGTTCGCGTTCCGTCCATTGAAAAGCGTGCGGGAAGCGTTTCAGCACGCACCACATATCGCTGCGCAGTAGTGTTTTTCCGAAGTAAAAAGTCCGTCTTCTTTCATCGCCGTCACCATGGCAACGAACGCCAAATGTCCTGTTCGGACGGGACGTGTATTACTGGGGAGCGTGTTAACCCACCCCCGCCTGCGTTCACGCCGCTTCGCTGCGACAGTTTGCGGCTGCTTATTATGCCCGAGTCCCACTAGAGCGACAAGCAGAAACAAACGACAGCGACAAACCACAAACCAAATTTTTTTTTTTTTTTGCGACTTGAGAGGCTTTGTAGAATAAAGGAGGCTATGCTAAAACACGAGCATCATACACACTAGGGTTATCTCTAGCAGCCTTGCATTCACTCGTGCCTATTTCACGAGCACCCACCGACGACTAAACGCCTGCCAAAGTTGTCATCGCGAGCATGCTGCATGGTGCTCGAGGCTTGTCCGTGTCGTTTGTTTCTGTTTGTCTCTCTAGTGGGACTCGGGTATTTACAAAACTATTAAACTTCGTCTAGCAGACGGCGTTCCAAAAATCGACGTTCGTTGCCATGGTGACGGCGATGAAAGCAGAAGGCCTTTATGTTGCGGAAGAACACAGCGGCGCAGCCATACCAGGTGCGTGCTGAGGCCCTTCCCGCCTGCTTTTCAATGGGCGGAACGTGAACAAAAAAAGTTGGAAATAAAGACTTAACTCAGAAGGCTGGTTTTCTCTAGCGCCTCATAATTTGACAAGCGTTAAACTAAAAGCGTCTTTTTAAACCAAAGTTTGAAAATAATTTTTTTTTTTCAGCAACATAGGTTCAATGTGTGCCGAATATTCTACCAAGGTGAGTACGACAATGGCGGAACTGAATATGTGACTCATTAAACAATAAAAAGATGGTTGGTTTTCATGCAGTTTTGCAAAACGTACCGGTTTTTATCCAACCATCCTGGCCCAGCACCTCAGCCGTGGCTTGCGGTTTTTTATAGTAGGATTTCATAGCGGACTTGCTTTGTACACGTATTTCACCATGTTCAAATGGTCCCAGGGTTGTTCCCGTGTTGATGTCCGTGATCTGGAACGGCGTGTGAAAACCCAGTGTAACATATGATGTCAGCAAGAAAGTTAAATGACATTTCATCAGTGGCAATAGAACGGCAAAGGGGGGGGGGGGGGGGAGGGGGGGGAGTACTAGGTTTTTTTTTCGTTTTTTTTTTTAGATCTTGCAGACATTATGCTAAACAATTTTTAGGGGAAGCAAATATGCGTTTCCCTTGTTTAGAAAGTTGCACGTCTGGAACTAATTTTCTCGAACACCCCATTTCATTATTTTTTTTATTTTTTGTATCCTCGTAAAACATTGTTTTCTACCAATAATCATAGTCTATAAATGTAATACTAATTTTGTATGACCTCTATTCAAGCCCGAATATTGTAAAATTTGTGTTCGTATTTGGCTTAAGAGACAGGTAACCTTATCACGCTTGGGCATTTCCGTGATATTTAAAAAATATATATATATTTGTATGCCTCTTGGGCAACATGTCCACATCCTGGTGGTGGACTTACTGTGAGAAGACAAGACGACCCCGAAACATGAACGTTAGAAAAAAAAGAAACGTTTTACGTAATTAAATTTCCTTTACCATACATGCACTGTGACAACGTTCGACAATGCAACAGCAAACGAATTGTACTGATACGCCTTGGTTCGACCTTATCCCCGCAGGAACGGCAGCACCGACGTCCTCGCTGCTGCCGTCCCACCCAAACTTGCCGTGGCATCTATTCCCGATCAGGCTTTCGGGCACACAATCATAATTTAAAAAAAAAAAATATATATTATGTGCCTAGATCGTCCACTCGTCTTACATTCGCGCAAAAATTTCACCACACGACAACCTTCGGCCCCGGACAGATCGCCAGCGGCCGTGCTGGTCCAATGTCCAAGAAGGTGGGAAGCGCAATAGGAAAACAAAAAACACCGAAACTCAGTTCTTTCGAATGTTGTGTCACGTGCCCTTCTCGTTGGACGAAGCAATGCGTTTGCTCACGTGACTCGCACCGAGTTATGAATTGACTCTGGCATCTTATGGCAAAACAGAACTCAAATGTTCAATGTTGTTCGTTTGGGTCTCGTTCCTTCCGCCTTATCGTGACCCCACCACCAGGGCGTGGACATATCACCCGTAATATATATGCCAAAATATTTTAAAAAATCACATAGATATCCAAGCTCGATAACTTTGCCTGTTTTTCTACCTAAATACCCGCATACGTTTCACAATATTCGGGTTTAAATAGAGGCCATGCAAAACAAAAGAATTGCATTTATGATCTATGATTATTGATAGAAAACTATCTTTTCTACGAAGATACAAAAAATAGAAACTGTATAAAAATGGGATTTCGAAGAAAATTAATATCAAACTGGCAACTTTATTCATTTTTTTTTTTAATTTTCAGAGGATGATATTGAAAGAGTAAAAAATACTCAACTGGATGCTTTTAATATGTATATAAAGCGCTCCTTCTAGGCTTTCTTAGGACATACAAATTATAGATATAACCTAGCAAATTCGCAGACAGCAACCTGTCAAAATTTATAAAACATCGCCATGGGAGATGAGTTTGGCGATTTAAACAAAAGTATAGAACACCTAGAAAAGTGTTGTTACTTGAGGACCTCTCCATAGTGTCCACAAAGCTATTAGCGATGTGCGCGACCAAAAGCGTCGCTGCGGTCATCTTTCCACGATTGGCCAGACCATGGGCATATGAGCATTGTCAGATTGTCAACTTTGACGGTGTTAGTTCCGGCTGCGATGGTTCCTAGCTTCCACTGTGGTTTTTAAACACACCATCGAACTCGTCGTCGCACCTGGTGGGAAGTAGCCAGGGTAACAACTGGTGACGTCACGGCGAGGCAAATCCCAGTCGTGACGTCACGGACGGATACTATTAGAGGGCGCCACCGAAATATCTCGGCGCTAATAAACAAAAAGTATAACAAGACACCCTGGAGTTAAAAATCACGGGAGGAGACTGAGTCAAACATGCGACCTCCGGAAGTCGGGTAAAGACGCTCATTTCCCCCGCGGCCGCTTCTGCGTTTCATAACCATTGGCGACGAGATGTTTCGGTGGCCCCATAATATTATGGATCATATCACTGACATCACGACCGAAATTATTAGTAGCGAACGACAAGTTCGATGGTGCGTAAAAAGTGCGGTGGAAGCCTGTCATCGCCTTCCTAAATCAGCACCGTCAAATTTGAGTGTCTGAGTTTGCTCTTATTTCCCTCGATGAGAGCAGAGCTCATCCTACTAAAGACGTCATAGTGCGCGTTTGACCAATCGTGGAGGGCTGATGACAGCGACGCGTTTGGTCGCGCCACGTCGCCAATAATCAAAACCCATTCTGCCGATTCTTCTAAGCAGAAGATTCCCTACAACAACATTTATTTCGTCAGATAGAAATATTCGCCTCTTTTTCCCTGCACAATTTGAGATGAAATCACCAATATATAGCACAGTAAAGTGAACCAAAAAAAAAAAGAGATATTAGCAAAAGCTGCCTATCTACCTTGATCTTAGAACCGGCAGCGGGAAATCCGCAATGTTCGAAGGTGACCTGTCCGACGGGCGTCGCGGCAGCATATCCAGTGAGCTCTGACAGCCCGTAGATGTTCACCAGGCTCTCGCAGCGGAACACGTCGCAGACGTCGCTGCCCAGCGACCTTGTGAGAAGGCTCCCGCCGAGCGCCACCTTTTTCACGCGAGGAATCCGGGCTCCGGTTCGCCGTATCTCGTTGATTAGCGATTGCATCTTCACGGGAAAGCTGATTATCAAGGACACCTAGATCAGTCAGAAACAAATATGTATTTTTTCAGGTGCAGCGCTGACAGCTTAATACCTGTTCGTAGCTAATGAGATTACAACATTGGCCGATAAGGACGCCGATGAGCGAATCACAGAGCAGCATAAAACTAATAGATCACGGCGCGCGTTTCTTAAGCTTTCAATGACTATAGACCTTTGCAGAAATTGCCTCTGTGCGCCGCCATCTTTGTCTGCTGGGCCGTGGAACGCCTTTTGCGCATGCGCTCTAGCTCTGTTTTGCCGTATCAGACGCTGCGCATGCGTCCACAGCTCTGTAATTCAGCATTTTGCGCCCGGGTGATAAGCCATGCAAAGGTCAATACTTTATAAGCGCCTGTAAACGTTTCGATGGATCTCTTCATAGGTGTAGGCGAAGGGCGTTTGGGCTGTGATTTGATGTTTCTTGCTGTTGTTTTTCTTGTTAATTCGATAGCATTTGTTTTTTCCAACGCCTTATCATTTCTTAGAATCTCCTGCATATTGCAGAATATTTGAATGACGGGCGCACAGAACTTATATCTGTCTTGAAGACATTGTACAGAATGGATCCGAATGTAAATTCCTATGGAACACCTCAGTATGAAAGATGAAGTTAAAGTAATGGTGAACCGAAATTTAGATTTCAAAAACAATGCAGGAGCTGCAGGCGGGACGCCTACAATCTTTACAACACTACTCGTAAGGCGATGTCTCAAATTGACGGCCGTATTTTGGAAAAAAACGTCGATATTCAAGGAGCCCGACGAGGCGCGTAACGTCAAGATATCTCGTTTCCACCTCTCTTCGTTTCGCCCCCTCAAGGCGGCGAGGCGCAGAAGACGCGAGGCCGTTCCCTCTCCTTCTCGGAGAAACAAGACGTAAACATATCCGTAAATGCGCCTCCTTTTTTTTTTTTTTTTTTTTTTTTTTTTTTAGAAAATACGGTTATTTGTTTTATATATCGTTGTAGGAGTGATGTTTTGATTTTTGTAACATCCCGTTGCACGCTTTTGCCGCCGTGCTTTGTGGAATCCAGATTTCGGTGTTCAGCATCCCTTTAAAGGTCTAGGATCATATCCCAACATCCGTCTCGGCTACGCGCTCCGAGTAGGTTTTGATACACGTGCATATTTTACCCCCTTATTGAATATAGGCGGTTAAATTTTTTCGTTGTTGGATAACAGTACATCACTATTATTGTTTGTCTTCTTAAAGCTGCGTTCATGAATACATTAGACAAACGTCTCTCCAGGCACAACCAAAAAGGTTTTTTTTATTTTTTTTTTTAGCGGTTTTGTCATATACTAGGCATACAAAAGCTGTATGCAGGCATGTTCGAAGCACAGATATTGTTAGGTCGATGTTGTGGGTAGCCAGACTTGAGTCTATCTCAAATACTCTACTCAAGATACTGTATCTTAATACTTTTTGGAGTATCTTGGTATCTTGCAAATACCTTTGATGGAGAGTATTTAATACTCTATTTTAATTATAATTCCGAGTATCTTGTACTCATTATCTTAAATACATTTTTGACATCCCTCCATTTTCCGAGTTTTTCGGTATGAAGTGGGGTGGGCGTGGCACGGGCAAACGTGAGCATTCTTTCGAGCAACCAAATCCTTTTGCTAGCTCCGATTAGCTACGGTGACTTTAACTGAGCTCGTGAAAATATCGCTTTTTTGCCGACTGTGACTGATATTTCAGCCTTAATTTGTACATTGAAGGTTCTCCCCTCGCCTTCCCAAAGGCGCCTTTTGTTTCTATAAAGTTTCCCCAAAAAAAAATCCTCAAACCAAAGGTGTGGTTTTACGGCAGTAAATGAGTCACCCTGAGGCGCAAGCAGACCGGGAAATGACAAGTAGATGAAAATGAGAAGTGTACACACACAAAAAAGTAGACATTTTTGTTTTGCTTTTTGTATATTTGACCCCATTAAAGCAAAACGTCGAGGTGTTTTTTTTTTTTCATTCCGGCACTTATTGCTCTCGCGAACACTGTCTGTAAGCGAACATTGATAAGCAGAGAACAGTACAGGAAACGAACTATAGGAGCTGGGTGACCTCTCAGAATGCCAACAAAACAGATAATAACCACTGCCGTGGCTATTATCAGGGTTCTCTTTGTTATCCATTCACTCATATCCGTGTCCGAAGTTCGTTTATACTGAATATGGGTTGTAGTGAAACGATATGGGTTGTAGTGAAACGATGCGTCTAGGGTGCGCCGCAGGATGTGATATTCAACGATGTCACTATTGGCGAAGCGCTCTGAACCGTTTGTCACCCCCCACACCTCGCTGTTTACCCAACACAAGGCCTGTGCACAGGCCCACAGGCCTTGTGGGCATGCTCGTGTCATCTTTTTTAATAGACCATTCCATTTAGCGCTCTCTGGGCGGCACCATTTTGTTCGACAGCCGGGAAATCCATACATCCGGGAAATTCAGCGGGTTCGGCGGGGTAGAACGAGAGAAAGGGCACGCTCCCGACTCCGCTAGCAGACGACAAAAAGGGAGGTTGCCATTCTTTGGGCTGTACCATTGCCATTCATCTTTGGGCTGTACCGGTGGGCTGTACGGAACATCGAACTCTCGCTCGTGGCTGCCGTTGTGAAGTGGTTCGCGTTCTTAGAATAGTTATGGCTACTCCAAAATCAGCCTAGAGCTCTCTGTTGTTCTACTTCGGTAAATGATCAACTGACATATCTTTTTTCCGTTACTTAAATAGCAGTTGAGTCAGCCGGCAGTACTACCCTCAACTGCTGCGTGTATTGCGGCAGGAGAGCACGTTTTTATTTATTATTTCAGACATCCACTCATGGTCGCTAAAGGCCTACACCAGTGCGAACTTTGTATAGTAAAAAAGGTACAGCCACCGGATTCACCTTTCGCCGGAGAGACCGGCCAGTCTGACACAGTTTTCCCTATTTTTTTTATTTGCACGCAGATAACAGCGCAATTGGGCTCTGTTAGCCTTTTTTATCTAGCATAGTAATACACGATAACTGGCATACCAAAATCTGCGTATCTGCGCTTGAAATTCCAAAATGACGCGATTTTAAACAGAGTTTGTACGCCGGCCGGATGCTAGGTACTGCCCACTCGGCGGAGCAGACGACATTCCGGCAAGAGGGGGAGGGCATTTTTTTTCTCTTTTTACCCTCTCTGCTATTTAATGGAACGGTCTATAGAGCGCGGGGTATAGTGTAATGTAAAAATATCAACAATTAGTGAAGTGACGTTCAGTGCCGGATCTCCCCTGAAAGCAGTCGTCAGAGGACGCGAACTTGACCCACTTGGGCTTTTGTGCTGAGCTGGGCAGGGTGCATGCTGCATTGTTCATGCAGGCCGGAATGGTAACAAAAGAGCCCCTCCTCCCCCTCACCCGAGAACACGAACTCCAGCCGAATGCTGACGCCGGGTTCGGTTAAGTCTGCCGAGCGCTGAGCCATTGTATTTGTTGTCCCCATCCATCTAGTTCTAAAGTTAACCACTTGGGGCGCCACAGTCTGATGTCCTCCCCAATAGCTAAAGCTATCTCTTTCTTGTTGTCCCAGAAATGGTTTGCAACATCCATAAGTGATATTGCCACGTGCGTTGCCCAGCGAGCGCGTGGCCGAATGGTTACCGCGCTTGGCTCTCGCGCGGAGGCTCCGGGTTCGATACCAGAAAGCGGACTTCTCTTTTATTTATTTCTTCAACCTGACGTTCTGGTAAGTTAAAGGATTATGTCGGTCTGATCGGAGTTACGAATGTTCTACGCGCCGAACTTTCTACGCCGAATGTTCCAGAAACACACGTGGGTACAAAAGGTGCTCCGAGTAGCGGTCCCGAGTCAGTCTCGCCCCAGCAGTCGATCCTGCTGTCTCGCCGACATCGACGCCTGCGACGCTAGCCTTTCTCTCGTTTGTTTTGGTAACAACTTCGCCCCATTAAACATTTAGATTCTTCAGTTATTTTCCGCCTCATCATTTATCATTCGTGACAATATTTTGCTCTTTATAGTCGGACTGCATAAAATAGCCCAACTATACTTTTTTTTCGTTTTGTGTTGTTGCGTGCCTAAAACCATTCTGGTAACCCAGATTTTCGTAGCTGCATAATTGTCGTCAATGACGTCGATACAAATTAAGCAATGCGGAAGTATCTTCAGAAGTAACTGAAATATATATTTGTACTCTACTCAAGATACTTCACAGTGAAAGTAACTTGAGTAGTATTTTAAATACTTTATGACGCAGGTATTTAGTAACTTAGATACTTTTATCGAATATTTTGTCCAACAGTGTAGCAGAGAGGACGAGAGGGGACGAGATGGTGGAACGCACAATCGACCTATGGAGGTCGGCGGGACAGCACGTAGGGCCTGGCGCGCGAGGTGATCGTGCGCGCCACTTCCTCGTCGTCATCTTCGCCTTTATGACAGTATGTAAGAGCGAGTACCCGGTAATTTCCTATGATGTATGAGCAGATTGACTTTGGACCTTGTTCCCTGGCGCTATTAATATGAGTAGCGTCAGTGAATTACATGCTGTGATGATGTGACTCAATGTGGAAAAGAAGAAGTACAAGTCAACCCATGGATCGGCCCAGAGGGAGAAAGGAAGATGACGAAGAAGGGAAGTTTTGAGAGTGCGTGCAGAGAGCGCGTGAAGGGAGACTGGTCGAAGGGAACGGGCGGAGAGCGGAACGACACCATCGGCCAGGGCAATCGGCGGCCTCCTACTGTCTGACCAGCAGCCTGTTCCAGCGAGGGCAGCGCATAGAAACCTACGCTGCCCGGCTTCCTACTACGCGAGCACTGGTTGCGGTGACTCTTGGGGCCGCCGACGGAAGCCAACCGCTCCCGCTCCTGACTTCCAGCCACAACCGTGGGCCGACAACAACAGCACAAGACACACTACTGCACAGGAATTCAAAGACATGGTGACTGATGCGTTTTCCTTTCTTTCATTTCTTTAACTAAGTTTTCCTTTTTTTGTATAAGCATATGAACTCTTTGATTTTTTTTGTAAATACAAGCTTTTATGAAAAACGAAGGACATTGTATCTTGTCGATTATTAACCACAAAGAACCTCACAACAATTAACTGGCGTCCGCGACAGGACAAGATACTCTGTTCCTTCGTTTTTCTACGTAACAATAATTAATCAGAATGGAGGTTAAAGAGTTAATGTCTTTGGGCGCTGAGTTGGGACTGGCAGGAGCGGAGTTGAGGTCTTGGGTGGACGAGGAGCGAGCACGCCAACGAGAAGAGAGGGTTGCTGAGAGGGAAGCACAGCGCCTCAAGGCAGAAAGTGAGCAACGCATTATCGAACTAAAGATTCGTCTTGCAGAGGCTAGCGCAACCGAGATAGGACGAGCAGATGGCAGTGAAGGGTCACGTCGCGCATCTATATCGCTATCTCCTAGTCCTCACAAGCTTATGCCTCCCTTCGATGGCAAAAGGGACGATCTCGACTCGTATTTGAGGAGATTTGAGCGTGTAGCTCAGGGGCAAGATTGGCCGCAAGAGAAGTGGGCGACTGCTCTAAGCATGTGCCTTGTTGGCCCAGCTCTGGAAGTCATAGGTAGGATGTCACCTGAAGACTCTCTGAATTATGATAAGGTGAAGAGGGCTTTGCTCCAGCGGTTTCGGTACACGGCAGAAGGGTACCGCGAGAAATTTAGAGAGAGCAAGCCGTTGGACGGAGAGACAGGGAGCCAGTTTGCTGCAAGACTAGAAGGGTTCCTCGACCGGTGGACCAGTATAAACGCATGCCCAAAAACGTATGAGGGGATTCGTGACCAGATGATCGGGGAGCAATTCCTTCGGAATTGCCATCCTAGGCTGGCTGTCTTCTTAAAGGAAAGAAGCTGTAAGACCATATCGGCGCTGGTTGAAATGACGGACCACTTCTTGGAGGCGCGGGGCCAGCCTAATCTGGCCAACTTCAGGAAGGAGGCTTAGATTCCCGGAAGGAAGATGTGCAAGGCAGCAAACCCGCTCCAAAGATAAAATGTTTCTTGTGTGGTAAGTTGGGCCAGAAGGCAGCAGATTGCCGATCAAAGCCAGAAACACGCGTATTCTGTCAAGTGTGTCAGAGGTCAGGCCACGAGTCCAGATCATGTCCGCAAGGAAAGAACGGAAAGACAGAAGTTTCATGTTTCGTAGAACCCGATGATGATCCTGTTGGTAAGACGGACGCGTTCTCACGGGGAAGGAAGAAAATCTCAAGAAACGCCTTCAGAACGCCCGCCATGAATATGACTGAAAAGGCGAGACCAATTCTGTCGGAAGTTATGCCAATCACAGATGGGATTTTGAACGGCAAAGCAGTAAAGGTGTTGAGGGACACCGGGAGTAACACCGTGATAGTGCGCCGGGAATTGGTCGCATCTGAATATTTTACTGGGAAAGTCAGTCCCGTATTCTTAGTGGACGGGACGTGTCTGATGTTGCCAGAGGCAAACATTCGCATTGTGTCGCCGTTCCTAACGGGACAGGTAACTGTCAAGTGTATGGACCATCCTCTGTATGACGTTATTGTGGGGAATATTCATGGAGCGAAAGACTCGACCGAACAAACCCTGAAGGAGCTGTCTGACGCGGAAGGTGAAGTCGTCGCTGCCGTCGGCGGTAGTATGCCGAGTAGGCTAAACCAACTTAGTAACGGTGGGAGTGCCAGGGAACGGGGGGACCTGCGGCTCTCGCAGTGGAGTAACACCGACGCTAAAGAGCGCTTGAAAAGCAGGCCAACCACTCACGAGCAGTACCTAGAGAAGGAAAAGCTGCTGCAGCGGGTCTTCGACATGAAGAATCCGGTGTACCCTAATCCCCGCAGAGTGCTCTACCCGAGGCCGCGCCTCCAAAAAAGGAACCCTGAGGTTCAAACAGTGCTTTCGCCACTGGGCACGACCAATAACTACCCCGTACTGGAGATATATCCTCACGACAGCGTCCCGACCGAGGTCATCGAGGGCTACAGCCTGGCAGGAGCCGACCTTTCCGTCTCGTCCGTAGAGGACACCATGGTGCACGTAAACGAAAGGGCCAAGAGGAAGTGTCAGGATGGACGGCAGAAGTTCCTTGAAAGGCAAGTGGACCGGGAACAAATGAACAAGGAAGAAGACCTGCAGCTTGAGGAGCGAAGGCTCAAGCTCGACGAAGAGCGGCTGGCATTTGAGAGGACCAAGTTTGAAGCAGAGGTGGCGGTCAAGGTCAGAAGGCTAGACATGGAGGAGAAGGAGCGCCGGATACGCGACGGCACAGACAAGATGCACCTGGAGCTCATGAAGAAGATGTTCGACGAACTGGTCCGGAAGGCACTGTGATCGAGAACTGCCAGGAAATTCTTCGTCGCGTATGAAGTGCTTTGGTACGATGGTGGGCATTATCACCGAGCGTTAGAAGAAGCGTAGTGGATTCAAATGATTCTTCGTTACGATTCATTCATTACGATTGAGAGGAGAGCAAAGTAGAATGAACTGTAATAATTTATCGTTAGAATTTGCTTTAGTAATATACCTCGGGTTATGCATATTTGGGAGCGTATTTGCAAGGCAATTTGAGAACATGTGGAGGCGTTAAAGCAGTTTTTTGAGAGAATGCGACAAGCCGGTATTACAGTAAACCCAAGTCGGTATGGGGACAACAACATTCCTGGGTCATGGTCTGGGTGATAGAGAAGTTTCATGTGTATTTGTATGGAACGCATTTTGTTGTTCAGACGTACCACCATCCTTTACAATATCTAAACAAGGCGAAACAACTTAACAGCTGAGTGTTACGCTGGAGTCTGATGCCTCAAGAGTATTCGTTTCGCGTGGAGTACTTTTAAAGAAGTGAGAATGTGGGTGTGGGTTATCTTATTAGGCTGCAATGAACTTGCGCACATCATCATGGTCTTGGTTTTTTTTTTGTGTCTAATTTCTTTTGGTACTTAAAAAAAAAAACTTAAAGGGGGGCTCCTTGTGATGATGTGACTCAATGTGGAAAAGAAGAAGTACAAGTCAACCCATGGATCGGCCCAGAGGGAGAAAGGAAGATGACGAAGAAGGGAAGTTTTGAGTGTGCGTGCAGAGAGCGCGTGAAGGGAGACTGGTCGAAGGGAACGGGCGGAGAGCGGAACGACACCATCGGCCAGGGCAATCGGCGGCCTCCTACTGTCTGACCAGCAGCCTGTTCCAGCGAGGGCAGCGCATAGAAACCTACGCTGCCCGGCTTCCTACTACGCGAGCACTGGTTGCGGTGACTCTTGGGGCCGCCGACGGAAGCCAACCGCTCCCGCTCCTGACTTCCAGCCACAACCGTGGGCCGACAACAACAGCACAAGACACACTACTGCACAGGAATTCAAAGACATGGTGACTGATGCGTTTTCCTTTCTTTCATTTCTTTAACTAAGTTTTCCTTTTTTTGTATAAGCATATGAACTCTTTGATTTTTTTTGTAAATACAAGCTTTTATGAAAAACGAAGGACATTGTATCTTGTCGATTATTAACCACAAAGAACCTCACAACACATGCTATTACCTTGTGACTTTCAATAACGTCGATGAACTCCCCAAGTGACAGACTGGGGTCCCGATACACCGCTGTAGCTCCGTAACACATGCAGAACCCGCTGACTATAAATCCAGAGAGGTGAGTCAAGGGATTCGATGCCAGGTACACGTCGTCTTCGGTACAAACCTTCAGCATTCTGTGAAGAAAAAGAAATAATGAACACAGAATTTGCGTGTTACTTATTGCCGTGTTATGTACATTTAATTACATTGAAGCTATTTACATATATACAGGTCAGGTTCGGGGCAGTACATGATGTACTGGCGGTTCAATCAGCGATCCGCACTGCACGAGCACGAGCCCTCACAAACCTTGTCACTCGTCGTCTTCTTCTATTGACGCGAATGTACGATTGCAGTCGCGCCTAGCAGGCGCATATCTTACACTACTCCCTACTAGACTAAGGCACATAGTCGTTAAGATAAGTAGGGCGGCGTGTTGCTCTTTGAGGTCACGAAGAGTTGCTAGGGAAAACTGTTGTCGAACCAGCTGGTTGGACTGCTGGTGTGGCATCGGCCCTAACGTCCGCTTCTTCGGCGACCGCTTCAGGTAGAGCAGTTAAACTCAAGTCGACTGAAGAGTTATCTTCTGAGTTTTCTGCAAAAGTTGTCGCTGGCTTTCTGCGCAGCTGGTCGACATGGCGACGCCAAGATCGTCCACCTTCGATTTCAATCCTATAGGATAGTGGACCGGTCACGGCTGTGACTACTCCAGGGGTCCACTTGGCACCGGACAAGTAATTTATTGCATAAACGTTTTCACCGACTGTAAATAGTCGTGTCTTCTCTTCCTGGAGAAACTTGTCCTCTTGTTTCCATTGACGCGAAGGTACGCTCGCAGTCGCGCCTAGCAGGCGCATATGTTACAGCCGAATTCCAGCAAGAGCTTGAACAGGCTTTGTTGTTTTCTTTTTTTACGCACGACAGGAATAACCACATGTGATACCTTTACACAGGGTGTGCGGAGGCAAACAAAAACAGACATGGCCGAACTTCCGGAGTGAGTATGTTGCTTCCGGTTGGCTATTGTTTGTGCTTGTTGCTCAGGACAGCTGAGGAGTGAGTATCACATACTTAAAACGTCTAACCGCCGAGGACCAAGTGCGTCATGTTCTTACTTATACGGGATCGACACGCCTTCCTAATCCCTTGGATGAAAAAAAAAAAAAAAAAAAAAGCGCACTTGTTTTTTGAAGAAATTCCAAATCTGTCGAACGTATCGTGAGCGGATCTTCACGACTACTCGAGAGAGAGAGAAATACTTTATTCATACAACTCAGGTTCGAGTCGATCTTTTGTTTACATCGAGGCGTCTTCGGGGGAGCTCGTTACTTCGAGCTACTGGCTTGGTTTCGATGACGGTACTCTATGTTCAGGTTCCAGGATGTCGTAGGTATGGGTGTCTAGAAGTGGCCACAATGTGGCTTGGAGTTCCTTAGGTGGGGCGGTCGAACTCCGACCGGTGTGGAAAGTATGGGAGGGGACGGGTATACTGAGGAGGAAATGGGGAGATTTGGTGGCTGTGAGACATGTCCAATAAATATGTTCGTTTTCTGGGTTCCCTTGTAAAAAGCCTTCAAAGACGATTTTTGCCGTCCAGTTCGACCGCCACTGGTGAATGCCCTGGAGCATCATCACCAGGTTGCTCCGGTCAGCTGTGCCCGGAAGCAAGGCGAGAGGCGTTTTGGGGTCGCAAACATGGACTTCGGCGAGGGATTATTGAGTTGACTGAAGAAGTGTCAACATGGGACGTCATTACCATCTGGCCCCTCGTCGCCCCGACAGCCTTGGAACGCTCTTACACAAAGGAGGGGGCTTTGCGTCCTCTCCCCCAGCTTCGAGCGTTTATGGGAATATATCCTTAGCGCACGGAAACCAAGACGCCTGCACTTGGAGACAATCGTATCCTTGCCCCATCCGGACTTCGATGGCGCCGGTGACCGACGAGATTGACCGGCGACACATTGGACAAGGAGGTCTGACCCCTCGGTGTGCGTGACGCGATTGGCGGTGTGTGAGAAAGAGGGAATGTGCGTGCCTGGGAATTACGAACAATGGCTCCACCACTTTGATGGAGGCCTTGACCATAGGGACCCTGCTAGGGATATGAGGAAATGTGACGTATTAAAAGGAGCAGCAGGGGTCTTCTAGCGTGTGTCATCTAGTGTTCTCGAGTGTTCTCAACCGCTCTCCAGTTGATGCAGAACCTGTCATTATGTACATAAACAGAGTTATACGTGACACCCCTCCTGCTCCTTGGTCCTTCACCATTCCGGCTTCCAGATGAGGTCCTGCCCTGGCTCGGCTTCCTACCGCACACAAAGGGCCCAGACAACCGCGTGTTCCGAACAGAACACTGCACACATTTGGCAGTGTGGGCATCCTGGAGGTTTGTGAATGAAGTGGTGGAACATGTCACACGGTAATGAGTGCCTTTGAGCTTGTCGAATATAGGTGGCGTCGCGTCGTGAGAGAGTGTAGCATGGTGGGGAAGCTGAAAGCGGTCATGCGGCTGGCCTGGAGCCTTGCTATTCGCATCTTCCGGTGGCTAAAGGGTTGCTCGGTGACCGTCCGAGGTCACCGAGTGACTGGACGGGCGAGGGCATGCGCTCGTCCAATGCCCTTATACCCTGATGACCCAGGATTCGTACAAGGAGGACTCGGAGTTGATGGTGTTGGCGCACATGTGCGCTGAGGGGCGCCCGAACGCGGTCGGCTATGTTGTCGGCAAAGGCACGTAGCATGCTCTGGCTGTCTGAACGTACCGTTATCGTGTGTGTGGTGGGTTGATGCAGGAGGATGCCTTCAGCTATAGCTTGCGCCTCTGCAGTGGTGGGAGTGGGGACGTTTCTGTGATTTTTCACGACATGACCTATTTGATCCGACCAATGAAGTCGTTGTGATTGGTGTCTGCCGTGTACCTGGCGTCGGTGTATTACGTCTCGTGCGAGGGCTCCCTGAGGTGGTTAGTCCGGGACTGTCGATGGTCTTGGCTGGCTGTGACCTCCATATTCTTGAGGATGGGTTTTACGGTGAAACGTGGTATAGTGTTCCAGAGAGGAGGACTTTAGGAAAGGGGGGGGGGGGGGGAGGTGTTCTGTTTGATAGCCGAGATTTGCCATGATGCCCCTGCCTTATGAGGTGGCGAGGCGATGATGCTGGGTTTCCTGGCGGGCTGTCGTTTTCTCTTCCAGCGTATTGTGGAGTGCGACGTCTGCAAGAAAAAAGTTTGGTGCGTAGTTGGGGACCCCGAGTTTGGTTCGGAGACAATTGCGTAGCGCCGTTTCTGTTTTCCCGATTTGCGTTTTGCGAGTGAGGTGTAAATGTGGGTATGCGTACATTACGCAAGTGTATACAGTAGCTTCGACGAGTTACCGCCGCTCATTTTTCTTAGGCCGTGTTTATGACAAGTGACTCGAGTAAGCGTGTGGTTAATTTTATGAATTTGTTTCACTATGTCTGAAGTTCACTCTGAACTGCGGCCGACTTGCTGCCAGATAAATCCGAGTATGCAAATGTGGGGCTTGCGGGGGATGGGTTGCTCGTTGATGTGGAGTGTTATAATACCTTTATATTTGCCGGCCCTCTTGTTGCTGTAGTTGAGGACGACCATGAACTCCGATTTCTCTGGGACACAGTGTAGGCCGATGGATTGCGGGTGTTCGTGGATAATGTTCAGCCCCCTTTGGGTGATCTCTTCTTGTGCACCTGAACTGCCCCTTGTGCTCCAAAGTGTCATGTCGTCCGCGTAAATTGCATGCCTGAGGTGTTGGACTTGCGATAGCTTGAAAGGGAGATCTTTCATAACAAAGTTGAACAGGCTGGGGGAAAGGATTGAGCCTTGCGGCGCACCTCTGAGAGAATAAGGCTTGGAAGGTTGGCCGACCGGATCAATGAAGCGGATTGTTCTTTATGAGAGGAAGGTTTGGATGTAGCGGAACATGCGAAAGTCTGGTTGTGTTTCTCGGACGTTGGTGAGGATTGCCTCGTGAGTGACATTGTCAAAGTCTTTCTAGATACCTACTCTGCTATTGTTCGAAGTTGTGCAGTGCTGGGGACATCGTAGACCTCCCCCCGCATACGTTTTGCGACGTCCTGTGTGCTGACATGCTTGCGAAAGCCACTGAGTGTTGGGGTGAGCTGTTGAGTGTTTTCCAGGTGCCATTCTAGGCGCGTGAGCGCCAACTTTTCCATTAATTTTCCCACGCACCATGTCATGAAAATATGCCAGCGGTCGGCGACTATTCAAGCCGCCTGATCCATATACCTGATAACAACTTAAAACCTACGAGTCCTTAAACGTGTTCAACTACGTCGCGAACGGCAAGGCACCGACTAAGGGGCACCTACCTCCACCAGGCGCCGAAGGGACGCGCCAAGTTACGCGTGAAACGTTCCGGTATCTCGGTCATTCGGTGACTTGGCTCGTTCGGCTCGTTCAGTCCTAGCTGTTGTGCCTGGGTCTTCATCGTCGTGTGTATAATTCAAAGCCGTTGCTGGCAGTCGCGTCCTCGGGCGTTGGTTGTGGTCGTTTAGCAATCCACCTGGCCCGTTGAGCTAGTCGTCTCCGTTTAGCGCTATTCTACTGAGACTGGCGCCTACGTTTTCAGCGCTCTGCGTCGGTAAGTTTAGCTGTTAACTTAACGCGTGGAATCTGCGCTTCAAATCAGTTGTTTGGAACGAAAGTACCAACAATAATCGTGGTTTTAAAAAAATGAAAGACGTTTACAATTTTCTGAGATGCCGATTTAGAGTGCAGCTCTTGAGGAGGAGGAGGGCAGGGTATGCCCCTCTTCTTTCTTTGCTAAATTTAGCGGGAAAGTTTTTCCGCTAAACTTAGTAGAAAACCTTTACCCTCGTGACGCCACACGTAACGTTACGTGCGACGTCGCAAGTGTCGCCACACGTGACGTCACAAGGGTAGATTAAGCGGGAATCTTTTTTCGCCGAATTTAGCAGAAAAATTTCCCCGCTAAGTTCAGCGGGTATATTGGCGATGTTAGATGCGTGTGACGTCACATGTTTCCTATAATGACATCACGCGAGACGTCACGAGGGTAACCTTCATGACCCTCGTGAGGATAAAGGCCCGTTCACACTCTTGCGACCGAGTAAGACCGAGAGAGACCAAACCAGTTTTTAAAGTCTCTTGCGATCTCTAAGGACCAGCTCCGCTGCAGCGCATCCGGTCCTAAGACGTCGTAAGAGGCTTAAAAACCGGTCTGGTCTCTCTCGGTCGTACTCGGTCGCATATATGTGAACGGCTCTTAACCCTCGTAAGGGTAATCCTCGTGACCCTCGAGAGGGTAAGCCTCGTAACCTTCACGAGAGTAACTCTCGTGACGTCACACCTGACGTCACTTGTGACGTCATTATGGGAAACGTCCCATAATGCAATGCGCGGTTACTCCGACACCGACGCCGACGACGCTACTCAAGCTGGAAAAGGGCGCCTAAGAGCTGTGCTTCAAAAAAAATTTAACTAATCAGCGTCGAGCTTGTGTGTGACGTCATACGTGTCATCACACCTGGCTCCACCAATAAGCATCGAGATAATAGGCAGCATCACAGTCTCTGGAGCCACTAACAAGGCAGCCTCACGTCTCATGTTAAAAGTCTGCGAATTCACTTTCCTACAGAACACAGAGACAGCTAATCACGGTGAACAATGGAACGGTTTCAGCGTTCGACTATACTTCGTGTCACTAGCTGTGTGCAGTGCAGGCGAAGGCAACGCAAGGCGAAGAGAGACGGACGAGGGGAGAAAGGTAGAGCTCTAGGAACGTTAGAGAGGAGAGGAGGTTTCTCTCCTCCTGCCCAGCCTTCCTTGTGCTTGCCCTTTCTTCCCTCGGCTGGCGTTGCCTTCGCCTGTACTGCAAGCAGCTAATGACAGAATGGCATTTGTAGTATGCTCAGAATACCATCAACAAAAAAATGCCATTTGCGCAGGCACGACGAGTATGACGTGTCACTCGCTCGTTGTCTCCGCGCATTTTCAGTTCTAATCGTATCCGTCACTTTATTGTTCACTGGGGTCCTTTTATTGCACATCGTGAATGGCCGTATTCTGTTCCGAAGGATAGTAAGCTGACATCCTCTTTTTTTTTTTTTTTGTTCTTTTTTTTAGACGGCTTAGTACAAAGGGTTTCACATACGACTGAACTTATCTTAAAATTATTTGAAGCAAAGCTAGTATTAACTGGGCATAACGTCTTCGACCGCGGCGAACGCTAGGGTACGAATATAAAGTGGGGATTATCGAGTTAATCACCTAAAATCAGCTTACAAACTTCAAAAATGTTCACCTCATTTGGTACATTCAAAACAGAGACACGTTTCTACCGTCCTTACAATATGTCGTATCCGTCCCGAAAATTCAGAAAACTGAATTCTACTTTTCGCTATTCAACGGCAGACTTAGGATGACTTTTGTCTCACATTACGGTGGCCCGCTGCGAACGCTGCCGGCAGTCGGAAATAATTCATAGCTCGGAGAGAGTAACCTAGCTATCCAGTTAAGAAGAGCGACACCCGGAGCCTTACTTCTATACACACAAAAAATGCAGGCATTTCTAAAAACTAAAACAAAAATTATGTGGTAGTCTGTTTTATAGTTTACATCGCATAAAATCAAACTCATCAACTTCTAATGATTTAGTTCGTTTTCTAAATGGAAGCAATAGACCCGATGAATATTGCACCCCATCCACGTTAGGCATTGTCAGATTGTTTTCAATTTCCGCGCAGGTGCATAATAGTCAAGCTTCATTCAACATTTTGTCGAACTTAGCGTTATAAGTTCGAAGAAGTTCAACCTGGTTGAACTCGAAATTCGGCAGGTCTGCAACATTTGCGCTGAATGTATTGTAGTGCGGCGCTGAATGTATTGTAATAACCGTTTAATACATACTCAAATGCCATTAGTGCTGACACGTATGCGCTGTGTGATATCTCCACCCCTTTTGGAAGGCCCGTGGATCCCGACGTGTAGATAACTGCGGCAGTCTCATCCTTTGTGTCGGACGGGACGTACTCCTTGAGGGAATCTTCAGAGAGGTCTTCGAATTGTCGGATGCTGGTAAACCCGGCGACGTTTCCTATGACGAACACGACCTGCGACGAGAACAGTTCGCTCTAAGAAAAATGTCTCTGAGTTTTCTTTTCTGCGAAACACGTAAAGAGCCAAACATGGCGAGCAATATAAGGCTCTGAGCGGATGTCGAAGTTAATCCTACGCTTAAATCCGAAAACCCCAATGTCCGCAGAAACAATAAGCAAGTGAAACGTCATGCGCGCGTTGTCCTTGTGCATATTTCATTTTGTGGGCCTTTTCGAATTCTGAGCTCCGTCATTCTCTGGGATTATTCTATCGTTAACCGCGATTGCCTTGCCCTGCCTTCTGAAAAGTGAACCCACGGCTAGTTCTTAGAGCGTTGGGCGATCATGTGAAGCTGAAATGCAGTAATTTGACAAGAGTGTAGAAACATATATGTGGCACGAACACGATCAGGTTGCTGAGTCACTATGTGTGGACGTGTCGCGTGCACTACGCTCCGAGAAACTGAGAAGGAGGAGGAGAACGAAAGAGCGCGGGGACGTCGGGAATGCCAGGCCCTGATTCGAATGATTAGTGGGTAGTCTTACGGCGTTACGCTGAGCCTGGGTCTCTCTTGGGTAGCATGGCAAGACCACTGGCGTACGGCGGACCTCACGAACGGCTCCCGGAGAAGTAGTCGAGAGGCAGAACTTCAAACTTAAACGGACACTGGAGGGCTTTTTGAGATCCTCGTTCTATGGTCATAACTCAATCTACGAGCTCTAAGCATCCCACAAAAAAACAAAATGACATTCACCCGTGGCCAATTTGCATATTACAAAAGTGATCGAAGTTCCCGACACTTACCTTTGGCGCAGAACGAGAGATGGCTCTATCGAACCTTACAGAATATAAGCGAACGACGGAAGGCGCTTGTAAACTACTAGCGAGGAAGGGTTTCCCGCGTGGACGAGCGGCCGACCAGTCACGCTAGTCTACACGGAAATCCATCGCTCGCGAATGACTGCCCAGCACCGTCCGTCGTTCGTCTATAATTCAGCAAGGTTCGGTACCGCCATCTGTCGTGCTGCGCCAACGGTAAGTGTATGGGTCTTTCACTTCTTTTTAATACGGAAATAGGCCGCGCATGAATGCAATTTCGTGTTTTCTTTAACTACTTAGAGCTCGTATATATAGTTATTAAGATAAAACGATGATATCAGAAAGCACTTTAGTATCTTTTTAGCGACAGGCTTATTTCGTAGCAAAATTTTCAGATTGAAGACGACCGTCTCTCGAACGGTCGGGGTTTTGTTGACACCTGAGGGATATGAGGGGTACGTCGGTCGCTTCCTCCAAAGCGACCAGCGGCAGCCAGACGAGCCAGGCTTGCCTGTTCGGCTAAGGGAGTGTTCCAGGTACCGCCAATTTGCGGCGTCTTGATCCCTGGACGATTTTCTCGCAGGCAGTCGTCGCCGTCCGATTCACTTCCTCCCACCGTGACTGACAGGTAGTGGGAGGAAAAAAATAAGCATTGTCCCACCCCGCCCGTTCGGCGCCCATTCGGCGGAGTGGGACAATGCCCGTTGGGCGGGAACTCATCGCTCGTGAGTTGCTGACAAGCACAGTCCGTCGTTCAACCGTATTCAGCAAGGTTCGGTAACGCCATCTGTCGTTCTGCGCCAACGGTAACTGGTGGGAACTTTTATCCGTTATTAAATACGCAAATTCAGCCGCACATGAATGTCATTTCAGTTTTTTCATTTAGGATGTTTAGAGCTCATTGCTTGATTTAAGACCCTAAAACAAGGATCTGAAAAGCACTTCCCACGCCCTTGTAAAGCGCGAGACACATGGACGACAGAATCGTCCGATCCGACGTCCGATCCGACAGTCCGAACGCCGCTCCGAATCGCCGCACGCGACAGTTTGAGACACACGCTTCCGACCTTGCATGCGACACGACGATCCGTCCGGCTCCGCCCAGAAGATCCAAGCACTCCAGCGGAGGTCCGTGTTCATAGATCTCTGGTCCCAGATTGACGGTTTAGCTCGCACGAACGAAGTTAGGAGCTCGTTCTCGCTAGCGCGTGCAATCTCTGCCGGGGCCATCTATTTCGAATGGGCCAGCGGGATCCACGCGTCCGGCTTCCCGTCGCCCGTTCCGTTTTCTTATTCGTCCCGACAGACCCAGTACGTCATCATGACGTTCGCGCTAGCTGTGCTGTCATTGGCTGGACGCATCCGACAATCCGTCCGCCGTGCGAAATTATCTGGCGCGTTGGACGCATGTCGGATCGCCGATCCGACGTCTGAAGCGACCAAATTTTTCGGATCAGGCAGTCGTACTGCCGGATCGGACGTCGGATCGGATGGTTTTTTCGCGCATGTGTCTCACGCTTTACCACCAGCCATTGTTCCTCCGCGATGCGCAAGTAGTCCGCTACCTTAAGCGCCCGTCACGCTGAGGTCACGTAACTCTTCATAGTCACCGCCTTTCCTGGTTCGTTCACGGAAGTATATTCGGTGCCGTGACTCCTATAGGGGTGTTTATATGGAGCATTTTCAACTTGTTAACAAGGTATTTGCAACTTGTGTCATACTTTGAGGAACTTCAATTTTATGGCACGTTCCGCGTTATCGTGTGAACCTCATTCTCTTTTGGCCCTGCGTTTAAGAGGCACGCTGCCGCATATTCGTAACGTAGGCAACGTAACAATCCTTGCAGCGCGGTTTTGTGCCTCGTTAAAAAATCTAAGATACATCAGGAATATTTGCTACCATACTATACCTCGGCCCTTGCGGAGAGACCGAACTCAGTGAAAGTTACCAACCTTAAGCGAGCAAGTGTCTTTGACTTCCAGGACCGTGCGCGAACAGCGCTCGTCCGTCAGAACGTAACCACAGTCACTGTCTCGTATCTGGTACAGCAGCTCTCCTGAAAGAGCAGAGGAAGTAAAACCCTTAAACGAAGGATTTGAACTGCCGACTAAAGTAAACCCCATTGCCAAGAGCCCTGTAAGTCCTAAGTCCGGTTCACACATTTGTGTTCTAATACGATCGAATATACGTTTCAACCAATTGTAACACACTGGCGCCATTTATCGGCAAGCCCTATAACACCACCGATTGGCGTGTACTTTACGCATTATTCGTTCACCGTGTGCTTGAAATAATTCTGACACCATTATATCGACCCTCGTTCGTAAATACTGCGTAGATTTGATCTCCCAGATAGTGCACAACCTTCAGTCTACTTATGCGCAGATCGCAAATATTTTCAGGGCTATTCGATAGATGTGTCCATTGTCCTAGTGCGTCCTCTATTCTTAAACGGTTAGATGTTGCTCTACGTATCGTGGCCGGCCACAAAAAAAAGCGCAATTATTTGAACCAGCCTTAAAACCACGCTGATGTGTATTCGTACGCTTCTACGATATATACCAGCAGTGGTCAAACTGTGTCCCCAAGACGAAAGTAGTTCTAGAATTTAAGAAGAGCTCACAGTCTTGGCAGTCTTGTTCTACAATACGTACCATCGAGTTCAAATGAAATGCGAGCAGTGACGGAACTTCGATCCCACAACCAGCGCAGCTTCCAAGCTTGGGTTGTGCTTGGCGAGGTTCAAACAGATTGGAGTAGGACGCAGAACCTCTCAGCGTCCTACTCCGATGTGTTTGAACCTCGCCAAGCACAACCCAAGCTTGGAAGCTACGCCGGTAGTGAGCTCAGAGTTCCATCACAGTTCGCACTTCCTTTAAACCCAATGGTACATGGAGCTGGACTGCTTTTTGGCACATGGATATGCCCAGTGACCCTGTTTTCTTTATGGTTCTAGAAAAGGGTTTTGAATCCTATACGTATAACGGCCGTCAGGAGCAGAGGTTGGCTTGCGAACCACACATTCATTTTTGCTTAGCGGTTGAAGAAACGTTGTGTTGCATGGTGTTATTTGTTGTAGTCGATATTTACACTTGTGTCCTTCGGAGAGGACAGTTCCTTCCATATCGTTTCTTGTTATAAAAAGCCCCCTTTTCTTCTGCGGCTTTCTTAATTTCTCTAGTTTTACCTGCGGGTCAAACCCCATGTCGCTCTGGTCCCCCCGGATATATACCGCACGGCATGCCTTACCACAGCATTGCAACTGCGATGGTTGCACGAGGAATAAGTAAAGTTCATTGGATAGTTAAGAGTACGGCAACGTACAGCTAGTCCATGACTTATGACTATTTGACTCGCTACTTGATGTCGTGCATCGAATATACCAATAGTCACTAACGGCTTAAGAACGGCTGGGCGTTTCGAGTTGCGAGCATCTTATTATTGTTCCGCGGCCAATGAAACAGTGTATTTAACCGACAACAATACCGAAGAGCGAGTAACGAAGTACATAAGAATCGTGAACATGATCTGCCACGTCAGGCGTTTCGTAGGTTGTCAGTTATTTTATTCGAACTTGAGATTCATGTCATTTTTCTTTTTTCACTAGAGGGGCGCTTTAATATTCCTTTTAAATTTTATTTGACACATATACTGCAGAAAATAAAAGTCCAAGCAGGATGAAAAAGAAAAAAGAAAATCTCACGTACATTAAGCGCCACAATTAGTGCTGCGTTGAAAAGGCGAACTTGAGTATTTGAAGCTTCATGTATTCTGACTGTACACTCAAGGCTGCTTCAGACAGTTGTGTCGACTGCGTTACGCTGCGTTGCGACGTGCTGCACAGCCCCCCCCCCCCCCCCCCCCCCCCTTTGACTCGTCGCAAGAGTCGCCATAACAGCAGCAGCTCAACGCAAGCAGTCTTAGTGAGTCGCAAGTGGTTGCAGTCGCACTCGGACGCAAGTGCGTGAACAAGCCTTCACGCATACACAGAAGAACAAATATCTCCATCAAATAACGTTGCCCGGTATTTGTAGTGACGAAAATATGCCACTTATAAATTTTAATCTTATTTAAAAAATGCACACTAAAAGAGCAGCAAGAAAACAATACAAAACATTAAAAAGTCTACTGCTATAATCACGTTTTGATAACCCCTCCTGGTGATGATGCAAAATCTGGAGAAGAAATCAATTATTTAGGCAATAAATTCATACATTCACTGTCCGAGGAAAGTATGAAAACTTAAATACTATATTAGTACATGCGAAATAGGGAACAACGTAACCGATAATTAGAAGAGTTTACGCACTTGAGACGAGCGTAGTCTTCGCAAGGACGACGGTTCCCCCGGCGAACACAACTGCGAGCGCAGCGGCCATGCTCTCCACACCGTTGTGAAGATGAGCGCACACCCGAACTCCTGAAGCCACGCCCCATTTTTGAAATCCTGCCGCATATCTTCGTATCTTCGAAAGAAATTGCCCGGCAGTCAGAGACAAGTTCTTGTCAACCTGAAATTAAGAATGATTTGCGTTCTCAAAATTTTCACCGTAACCTTGTCACGCGTGAAAAGTTTAAATATAATTATACTGTTTTTAATTAGCAAGGTTAATCTTGTTATTATAATTTTAAATATTTTAATCGACGTTTGGTGTTGCTGCATTACACGACTGTGTAACTGAAAGTAAAAGTTTTAGTACCATAGCTTCAGTTATGAAATAACGTTAAAGAGACTTTATTTCAAGAAAGTACACTCAATAACAAAATACGAAGTTCAGCTGGCGACTAATTACCTTATATTTGCAAAATAGCCTATGACAAATTTAACCCGGCTTTCTTGGTTGCCATTTTTTTCTTTCGTCGTCTATAGGCCGCTTTAGTACCGCAACCTCTTTATGTAGTATCGCAACCACAGTAGTGAAAAGAGCCAAGAAAACACTGAAGACAAAGGAGAGCTAGTGAAATACCTACATTTAAGATTTCTTTTAAAAAATATAGACAACAATGCAATGCCTAAAAAAGACACACAAGTCTTTGTCCCTTCTAGGATGTAACTTGACCGGGGTTTTCGCTGTGTTGAACGAATAATAAATTGTCAAAAATATAATCGCTGGCGATGTTTTAATTTTTCCTGCGTTTTCTGTTTAAAAATGTGAGTCGCTACAAATACCTGGAACGAGCAACGCCGTAACGCGAAAACGTATTATAATGCATCCACACTCGGAAATAATATTATTTAAAACAAACTTTTCAGAATGTATAGCTTTATATTTCGCAAGCCGGATGTCACTTTTCTACTTACTGCTACAACCTTGTCCGCGAACTTGTTGAAGTACTCTGTTAGAACCTGGGGCATGGAGTGACCTTTGGCATCAAAATCAGGAGAAGGAGAGGATATGATTCCATCGGCGATGAGGGTAGTCATGTCTGGGTGCCCTTGGGAATGGTCCGCACTAAATAATAGTGAGATTACGTCATATTACTCTTGAAGTAGTGTTTTTCAATGTCAGGTAACTCGAGCTTCATATTTAAAACTCCATGTTTCAAAATTCAGTCGTGTCACAAAAAAACAAAGAACGGTGTCAAATTAAAACATAAACAGTTCTTCCGCTCTCTTATCGGCTGATGAAGCAAGTCCATTGTTTATGGAGCGACCAGCAAGATGCTCGGGATTTTCCGCTCCACTTGTGACTAAGCTTTTTTTTTAATTTAGTTTTCTGCAAATTTGACGTTATCATTAACCCAGCCACTTCTTTCTAAATTTCCAATAATCTGAAAATCAACGTAGTCAGTATTTGAAACGCTGGACGCCAGACTAGCATTTAAAGAGAGACAATATTGTGATCGTTTCAGAAATGTTATTTTACACCACAAGTGCAATGGTGCCTTCATCATATGGTCTATCTCCATTGTTCGCATGGCGCCGATTGTGACCTCTTCCTCTGAGGATATACCCTTATGACTTGGTGTTAAAGGTTAACATCTCTCCACATAAAAGCGTCCGACCACTTTTTTACTACGCTGAAAATGCTCACGTCGAGATACGATAGGCGTTGCTTGTGTGGTAACTCGCAGTAGTATCCCGACGTAAATCCTCACAACCGTGAGTCAAACGTAGTCACACTGTTTTCATGGCACTTTATTGCGCTTTGCGTTAGGCGTCAAGACCGATAGGTGGCATAACTTCTAGGAACAATACGGGTTCATGCAAATTACCAAATGCTTTTTTTTTTATTTGCTTGGCTTGACAAAACGTGACTGGCTATTTATTTCACTCCTTCCGTCAGGCAGCTTGTTATCATGACCGTGCGACTCTCCTTTACCGTCCACTGACAAATTTGGCAGCTAAAATGAGAATCGCGATGACCATACGCCAGCTAATCGCGGTACCTATTATTCAGTCCTGTACACGTTATTCCAAAAATTTAATCGATTACAGTTGCAGTTACTCTTGGTTAAAAAGTATGAATTTAGATTGATCGATTACTTGATAAGAAAAATAAATGCCCCTTGCTTAAAAATGCAACCGTTCGTTTTTCGATTACTTCAGAATTTTAAAACAACTGATTTCTTGCCGCTTTGAAGCCGGGTCTTTTGTGCTGTTCATTATTAGATCAAAATCACTGAACTGGAAACTACTTATGTTCTTAATCCACCAATTTTGGTAAAACATCATCCAGTAGAGTCTGGGTTCGAGAATTTCTTGGTAGGAAATTTGTACCGACAAAAAGCGCAATTAGGAAAGAGGGGGAAATATTGTCACGGGTAGTGACCACATCAACATCAAGGACCCGTCAGGACGCCTTGCGCGATGGATTCTCCGACTACAAGAGTTCAACATGACCGCAGTCTACAAGTCAGGCCGCAAGCACCGCGACGCCGACTGCCTGTCCAAAGCTCCCGTCGAAACAGCTTCCGACAGCAGCGACGACGATGACGACGAGTGTTTCCTGGGCGCAGTGAACACCGACGACATGGCCCGACGTCAACGAGACGATCCTGAGCTGCGCGCACTAATAGAGCACCTGGAAGGGCGTGGGAGTGCCATACCACGTGTTTTTTCACGAGCCCGAGCTGTTCTCCAAGCCATATATGGCTTGGAGAACAGCTCGGAGTCGTCGCAAGTGCTCGTCGAAGTCGCCGGAAAACACTACGACGTCGTCGAGGTAGACGAGACAGCTCTGCCACTTCAGTCCTGCCAGTACGGTGTCTATGACACGCTGGAAAGTTGCTGGCGCCGTGCATATAGTCCGAAGGGCATCACCTTAAACTCGTACAGCCCATCCGGTGTGACGAAGGCTGTCTTCTCTCGGTCCCGTTTGTCGACTTCGATCTGCCAGTAGCCGCTCTCCAGGTCCATCGATGAAAAGTATCGAGAATGGCACAGCCGGTCTAACGTGTCGTCGATGCGGGGGAGTGGATAGACGTCTTTCTTCGTCACTGCGTTCAGCTGCCGGTAGTCCACGCAGAACCTAAGCGTCCCGTCTTTCTTCTTAACCAGTACGACAGGGGAGGCCCAAGGACTGCTTGAGGGTTGAATTATGTCGTCGTTCAGCATCTCTTGAACTTGCTCCTGGATCACCTGCCTTTCTTTGGCGGAGACTCTGTATGGAGATCGGTGCACAGGGCGCGCGTCGTCCTCGGTAACGATGCGGTGTTTCGCAACGGCGGTTTGGCGCACTTTCGACGACGTCGCAAAGCAGTCGCGGTATTCGGCGAGGAGGTTAATCAGCTGACATCGTTTCGGGCCCGGAAGCTTAGAGTCAATGTCGAGCTGTGCTGGCGACGTGCTGTCTTGCTGAGGTGGCGAGGATTCGTCAGCAATGGCGGTGATTTCCGCGGAGTTTCGGAGTTCCTCGACGTGGCCAACGGCTGCCCCTTTCGTGAGGTGTTGCGCTTCGTTTCGGAAGTTCGTCATGAGGACCACAGTGCGGCCACCCTGAAGTTCAGCTACCCCTCTTGCGACGCCTATTCCTCTTCCCAGAAGCAACTGGAGTCTCCCCTCGAGCAGAACTTCGCCGCATAAAGCTTCGGTGATCCCGACAGGTACGAAAACACTCGACCGCGGCGGTACGTCTACGTGATTTGCGAGGACTCGGACCGCGGATGACGTCGCTTTGGGTTCCTCCGGTGGTGAAACAGGTTTTCGCAGAGTTAGCCAGTTTGCTCTGAGGTCGATGACGGCGCCATACTCGCAGAGAAAGTCCATTCCGAGGATAACGTCCCTCGAACAGTCCTGCAGAACGACGAACTTTACAGGGCACGTCTCGCCGTGGATCTCGACGCGAGCAGTGCATCGCCCGACTGGTGTGATGAGGTGCCCACCGGCGGTTCGTATTTGAGGGCCTTCCCACGGCGTTGTCACTTTTCGCAGGCGACGAGAGAGCCTCCCACTCAAGACTGAGTAGTCTGCTCCGGTGTCCACAAGAGCCGATACGTCGTGGCCGTCGATTAAAACGTTTAGGTTGTTGGACACCGATGCAGGGACGTCGTTGTGATCTGTAGCGTCGAGAGAGTGGGAGCGCTCCGTCGTTCTTGGAGGCTCTTTACTACGGTCGTCTTCGGCCACGCCACCTCCAGGCGTTGCCGCACTTAGTTTTCCCGGCGACGCAAGGGCGACAGGCTCTCTCGGCGGGGTCGTGGCGCTGGAGACGCTGAACGTCTGGGCGACGGTGAGCGGGACTCATGGTGGAGCGGCGTTGAAGATGGCGAACGTCGAAGGTACTCCTCGATGTCACGAGGGCGTTCATCGTACCTTGGGCGCGGGTCGTTCGGGTGGAACCCGCGCAGCCCCAGTTGTCGGTAGGGGAATCGACAGTAAATGTGGCCGGCTTCACTGCAGTGGTAACACAACGGGCGTCGATCGGCCGTCCTCCACACGTCGGTCTTTCGTGGCGCAGCTTGTTCTGGGCAGGGGTACGACCGATCTTCTTGGCGTTGGGAATACTGCGGCGCTAGAGGTTCACGTCGAGGTGGCGCCGTATACGGGTGAGCAGGGGGCGGTGGTCGTCGGGTAGCTGCGGCGTAGCTCAGCTTCGGTAGTTCAGGAGCGGCGCTGGCGAGAACTTCTGGCTGCAGCGCCTGCTGAAGTTCTTCCCGGACAATCTCGGCGACTGAGGGCGTAGCCGGGCTTGTGGCAGGAGGTAGCAGCTTCCTGATTTTCTCCCGCACGACGTCCCGGATAATCTCGCGGAGGTCCGGGCTGTATCAGTTGGAAGTCGAGAGGGCCGCGACGCCGGGAAGTCGCTGGTAATGGGAGGCCCGTGCTTAAAGGGCACGTTCGATGTTTGTTGCCTCCGTGATGAAGTCTTTGATGGTGATAGGCGGGTTCCGCACAAGGCCCCCGAAGATGGTCTCTTTCACCCCTCGCATCAGGAACCGCAGTTTCTTCTCGTCAGGAGCGTTTGGGTCGGCACGGTTCATGAGGCGGAGAACGTCCTCGACGAAACTTGTGACGCTCTCGTTTGGCCCTTGGCTTCTTGCTTGAAGAAGTTCTTTGGCCCGCTGACGTCGCTGATGGCTGGCAAAAGTACGTCGAAGCTCCGCCTGGAAGTCTTGCCACGACGAAATCGACGCTTCGTGGTTCTCGAACCAGGTGCGTGCAGTGCCTTCCAGAGCGAAGTAGACATTTTGCAGGCTCTGCTCAGGACCCCATCCGTTGAACCGTGCGACGCGTTCGTACTGGCCCAACCACTCGTCCACATCTTCGTGAAAATTGCCACTGAAATTCGGCGGCGTCCTTGGTGGGGCCTGCACGTAGACAATGGACGTCGGTGACGTTCCGTCTGGCTGCGACGTGGTGCTCATCGTCGGCTTCGACCCCTTTTTTGTCCTGTCCGGCAAAGGTTCAAGTTCCGGGGGTAGGCCGAGGTTGCGGCGGCTTGATCGGGTCTCGGTCCTCTCTTCGTTGGGTCCTCGGGGGCTCGGGATCGGACTTGTACTGCGGGCCCTTGGAGGGGAACGTCGCACGGGCATGCGGTACCCCGCACCTCCACCAAAATGTCACGGGTAGTGAACAAAAGCACACTAAATAAACAGAAAGAAATAAACGTTCAATGTGGCGAACTTGTGCCAAAAAAATAAACGGGTACAAAATATAATAACAGAGCGTCGCGGGCGTCGAAGTCGGCGTAGTAGCAGAGTCGAACGCTGGTGCGAAACTGACTCAGGATTGCCCCTTATGTACACGTATGGGCTTCTGGAATAATCGGCGTAGAAGGTTCGGCGTGCAGAACATTCTGACCTCGAACAAGGAACATGGTTCTCGAATTTTCCAGAACATTACTTTACAGGGTCAACAAATATGTGCCTCCGCGGCCAGGAATCGAACCTGGCTTTCAGCGTGGTAAGCAAGCGCGATAACCGTTGGGTCACGCGCGCGCTGCCTACTTGGCCAGCTGCGCGCGCGGCAATATGATAAAGATTACAATAAATTTTAGAACTTCCAAATGATATCAAGTCACCCTCAATTACAAAATTACTCCAAAAAGTAATCAATTACAAGTAATTTGATTGCTTCCAATGATTATCGTACAAGTTTGCTATTAAAGTTATTGTAATTTGTGATCGGCATCGAACATCAGCTTTAAAGCGTGCTCCGAGAGGACAAAAAAAAAAGCTTTATAGTCTTGTTGAGGGCAGACTAAAACTAAGAAAATCCGTGAAATTCAACCTATTATTAAACAACCAAGCATTTATTACAAAAAAGCAGTATCTCGAGAGAACAGTACTTTTGCGGATGTTTTCTAATATCTCTTTTCCCGATCTCAGGCATATGCCCTGTACACTAGCTTTTACCATTTCAGGCCTACAGAGGAGGAATAGAGGGGCGGCTTACCTTCCTACTTCCCAGAAAGAAATACCAAGTAAACGGCTGAAGAGAAAGATATAAACGCGTTAGGCCAACGGCCTCTGTAAGATTACGGTGCAAGCGACATTCACTGGATAACACAAGAGTGTCTTCGGCCGTTATCTTCGCTTGTTAGGCTTTATCTGGGAACGGTTATGGCGCACTATTTTCTTGAACTCAAAATAGGAAACCTTATCCCCGACGCTATAAAGCAACGTGTTGTAACCATGAGCAGCGCCTTGCGCCGTAAATAATATAATGAGCCACGAGTCATCTTTATTCCGCTGCTCAAGGGGTATTATGTTGTAATTTTGCCTTTCCCATTTCCTCCTATCCGGAGCGCAAGTTCGTCTGCTTCTTGCGCAGGGGATGCGGCGACGTCAGAACACCGAGCTCTGATTGGCTCTGATAGAAGGGTAGTAGGTAGACCTCAAAACAAGCTGCCTTGATGTCTACCCACTATCCTTCGATCAGAGCCAATCAGAGCTCGGCGTCCTGAAGTCACCGCTACCCCTGCGCAAGAAGCAGACCAACTTGCACTCCGTATATCCTTCCACGGATGCGGCGTTTTTCGCTGTCAATTTTCGAAGTCGTTAAAAAAAGCAGGACACTGGCGTAGAATTTTTCAACATCCGAAGAACATGCGGATGACACGTCTACTTATAGAGAATTGACTTCTTCCAAAATTTGAAGCGCCACATCGCGGCGAAAAGCCATGCAGTGCACTCTGGGAACTGGTTGGCCACTCAGTTTCGGTTTCGATTATGCAGCTTCAGTTCATGCTATCACGCCGTGACCAAATGCGCTGCTTGCGTTTTCGATTACCTGACTTCCCGCGAATGTACAATTTTCTCATTCTCGAGCTATATTAGGCCCGTGAGCGAACACAAGCGTCGCTGTGGTCGCTGTGGTCGCTGCGGCCGCTGCGGTCGCTGCGGTCGCCGCGCCCTGATTGGGTGATATGTATCGTGACGTCAGGGGAAGGACTCCTCTTCGCGATCTCGCATCCGGCACGCTTCTCTGCCCCGCTTTCCTGGTTTGTCCGTTGAGTGCCGCAAGCGCTTCGAGGCGCGGAACCTCATTTACTCGGTGTACAAGACGCTTGGTTAGGCCGATACCGACGTGCTTCCGTACCTTTTTTAAGCGTGCTTGTCACTTTTACCTTTATAATTAGGTTACAAATCTCGAAAGCTATCGGCAGGGGCGATTCCGTCGATGAACCTCTCTGTCGGTCCACGCAGCAAAAGGCAATCGCGCGAGGGGTCGGTGAAGCGGCGGCGTAAGTGTTTCAGACGTTGGAATTCTATTCCTTGCATGTTCATGAGTTAGAATAATATTCCACCCCCCCCTTACAGGCCCTTCGAATGGTATTTATATAAAAGGCCTTTTGGCGGTCGGCAAATTAGCTCGCGACCCCGACTCTTCGTGTGCCACCCTGCATGCACTGGTTCGCAGATGTTTTAAAGTCCATATGTCTGAAGACCTTTCAATTGCTCGTGGAACGGGGAATTGTTTTACCTAAATATAGCTCTTTCGTGAATTAATGATATAGTTCGCACAGGTATGCAGGCATGTCTTATTTTTTAGAACATGCGCAATTACTTATTTGTATTGCAGCAGGAAAAGCGGCCGAATTGCCACTTGTCGCCTCTATTAGGTGTATTGAACTGCCCAAAATATGCACAGCAATATTGCCATAATTTGGAATGTTTATACTTGTTTCTGACATGTTTTTCTTAATTCCAGCGTTTGATATTCGCAAAATACACCGATTAGTTTGAATTTTCATTTCCAATTAAAAGAGACACTGCTGCAGGTCCCCAAAAGCTTCCTCAGCCTCCAAACTCCCTATGGCTGGACTCCATGACAACAGATGAAGACAGAAGGAACAGGAAGAATTCGAACGGCTGTCGAGTGATAGATGCTTCACTAGGAGCAGAAAATGTAGAACATGTGAAGGGTGCCAGTTTTCGTGAAAAAAGCTTCCGGTATTTTAGCTTCAAGACAATTTAATTTAGCTAAAATCTTGATTTTAGTCTAAAGAGTATGAACGGGTTACGCACCTTTTCTTACATTTCTTTTAAATTACTTGAGGTATGATATAATCAAGTCCACAGATACCTCCAGTGGAGTCCATTGAAACACTATCCGAATCCAGCAAAGGTCAAATCTGAACAATGTGTATAAATCTTCCTTCTTGCTCTTCTTTGTCCCTGTATTTGGGTTGTCTCATTTGTGATTCTCTCTCTATAGCCCAGACTACATTTAAAATATTGCTCGAGCAGCATGCAGCTTTTCTGCTTCGGCGTTTTTGTTTAAAAACTTCAAAAAAACCAAAAAGAACATATTAAATAGTATACATAACCTGGCAATTCATTCAGATTATCCGCAAGATTGATTGTGTGAGATGGAAATCTCTAGTAACAATCCTGCAATTGTAGCCGTGTTTTTTTGTTTTGTTTTTTCATATACCAGTTGCGATTCATGCGTTGCCTGCCCTATCAACCATGCCTGAAATGTTTGTTGAAGTTTCGCCTGCAGGCTACAGGCCATACCTCAATAAAGCCACATATGAAAATGTACTCTTCCTACGAAAAACGCGAGCAAAAATAGTTCAATAGAAATGAGCGCGCCGGTAGCTAACGTCGTCACAGCCTCCACAGGGCGAGCGGGGCGAGTCGGGGAAAAATTGTCCTCGCCCTTACATAACCCCGGTTCGCCATAAGGGGGCACCACGCAAACTTCTCGGGGCTAATGGAAGGAAGACCGGGCACTTTTCTTGGTTCCCGACATGCCGGATATTGAGCGTGCGTATCCAGACGTAGTAAGTCGTAGACCTCACCCCACGATTGTATCGTTGAGCTAAATTTCAATAATCCTGTCTTGTACCGGTAAACCAGAATTACAATTTTGTCACACTGAGCCCTACACGTATTTTGTTTGACGAACGTCCGCTTCTTGTTACTTCATTGGGCAAAAAACAAGCCGCATCCCAGGAGTCTCAAAGTTGAGCGAAACGTTGGCGCATTAACTTTTAAGGAGACCCAATAAATTCGACCTCACTACTGAACAAATGTTACTGTCAAGTATTCCTCGTGTCATCATATATCTCCCAATCAAATTTTATGCTGGTTGGAGATGAAGTTTTCGCAAACGCTGAGATCGGCTAGCTACGACGGGGGCCCTAACAAGCGTCCCCTACTCCTCGCTAAGCTTTTGTAAACGAGCTTTTACCGACGCCCAAGATCTCTCTGAACGGTGTGTCTGAAATTATATCGGCCTACTCAGTCAAAAAGAAAGAAAGCACATAACAAATATTATGGCCATTAGCAGCTCTCAAATGCGCTTTATACCCTTTATTTCGTTTGGCGTACCGCATAGTGGTTCGCACTAGTATACGTGCTGCCCTGCGAATGGTGCAACATTCTTCACGCAAGTGCTCGACTATGGCTTTCTTAAAACGGTGTGTATGTGCGAATTTGCCTATATGATTTCAGGATAACTTCATGTGCATACGCGCTATTGAATATGTAGAATGCAAGCGGGTGGGATTTCACTTCAAGCAGTGCTGCGGGTCAGTACAGATAAGAGATAAGAAGTGTTTAATTTTAGCTTTTCAATGGCGCCTTCGAGTTTTACCTCACGTACTCAGGCATATTAAAAAAAATGTAATCACAAAAAGGTATTTTTTTTTTAATGCACGCACAAAAGCTAACAAACTTCCTGACCAGTAACATTAATGTAAAGGTGTGAGTGTGCCTATATGATTGTGTGATAACTTTATTTGCATACGTCCAATTGAATTCGTAGAGTGCAAGCGGGTGGAAGTTTAACTTCGTGCAGTGCTGCGGGTCAGTACCGATAAGTGACAAGAAGTGTGCTTGATTTTAGCTTTTCAATGGCGTCTCCGAGTTTTACCTGGCGTACTCAGGCGTATTAAGAAAAAAAGTAATCACAAAAAGGTATATTTTGTCAATGGACGCAAAAAACAAGTAACAAGCTTCCTGACCAGCAACATTAATGTAAAGGTGCGAGCTCAGTGTACGCGTAATTACTGGTTGTCACAGCGTGTTGACTCGTACACAAGCAACATCCTAGAGCTTCGCAGCGTCGAGATTCCCAGCACTGGTTCGTCCACATACCTCGGAACCCTAACAAAAAGGCTTGGGTACAAAAATTCAACAATCATGTGTCAAGAAATCTTTTGCATACAGTTCGGGCTTGTGTCAAAGCTTAGAGGACTGGCCATTTAGGTTTGTTTAGAGACCAAAAACGATGTGCTAGGGATCAGGAAACATGAGATAACAGCTGTTAATAGCTCACGCTCTAGTTATGATCTCTCGTCGACGTGTCGGTCGAAACCGAAACCATGCCACTCTCCTCCCTGCCGAACAAGATCTTAGAGTGCAAGGTGCGCAGTGTTGCATGCAGGAATTTATAGAAGCAGTCTTCCGCTCGCAGATTTGGAGCGCTCCAAAAGCGCCCGTTTTAGAGCGCGCATCTTCCGCTGGCAGATCGGGTTCAAGGTGGCCATCTTCCGCTCGCAGATTTTAACAATGCAAGCTGCATAGAGCAGCGCTTCCGACCTCGCCGAAGCCGCCCCATAAACTTCGAGAGATCTGCTCCGAAATCGACAGCAGCGCACCACTGCGCATGCTCGACACTGGAAAATAATGTCCGGTCTGGTCAGGTCGGTTGTTTAGGCGTCTCGAATGACCTCTCATAGTCAGGAGGTACGGACGCGGGACCGGAGCGTAGAAAATCGTAGCCGCTGGCGATCCTCAGAAGATGAACGAGAGCAACAGACTAGGAAACGACCGTGCAAGTGATGGTTTGTTATCTCTTTGTGTTTATTAAAGTTTTGCCAGCAATCAGTTCCACCGATGGCAATGGCTGTGCGTTCCCCACCACTCCGAAGCGGCCGAAAGGTATGGCGGTTTGTAACGGTGGCGAACGCGGACGTATGAACGTCACTGCCGGGGCTTATGGGATATGTCGCCGCTATCACCGGGTACTGACAAAGTTTCGGCTTCAGACCGCCGCCGGCAAGCTGGCCGCTGCTGTAACGTTTTCGGAGCGCTTTCCT